TCTATTGCGAGTTTGTAGTCGGAAGAGTAGTAGTAATCTAAATGTCTCATCTTACATTTAATTCTGTCATAATCCATAAAGAGGAATTTCCAGATATGAAAATTCATCGGTATGATAAAAGCATTCTGTCTCTAGGGCATTAACTTTTTTAGTGAGTATAGGAAATAGTGTTCCCTACTGTAAATAGAGAATCAATTGCTCTGAAAATCATTAATTGAATGTTTAATTTTTTTTTTGTGTGTGTAGGATTAGTAGTCTGTTATTAGAATTATGTGCTTATGCCCTGCCAAAGGTGCAAATGTAAGCTATTTTGTGATGAACTAATTAAAACCAATAATGCTGTTTACTAGTGGAGCTCCAGCAATAAGAAGCTTTGCCATTTTATGGCTAATGACAAATGAGAGCGGATATTTTTATCACTGCTCCACAGTGAAGGCTAACGTGAGTATGGCCTGTAAGATAGGAATCAAACTCTTGCTTATATGTCGAGAACATGGCTAAACATCTCAAATGACAGCACTTAGTCTTTGAGTGGGTAGTTAATTTTGCAATCGTTTGCTAATTATCTATTAATTTATTAGCTTAATTTCAGAATAGGTCTCTTAATTAAAATATCCGTGTGAAATGTTTTATTGTAAATTCCTGGCATTTGGTCAGTCCTAGTTCCTTTGCACTACAGTATTTCTTTGCTATAAAGAGTATGTACGTTTTGTTCCATACTGCATTTGGTGCATTTATGTACTGGATATTATTATAAAATGGAACTGTGCATTAATAGTATAGCTTTTGAATTGTGCCTTTTTTTCTTTTTGAGGGGATGCGGAAATCTTGAAGAGCTCTTTTTAAAATATATGCAGACACAGTTGTAGTAACTTCTCTGTTGGGTACTATGTGAATCAGGGGTTTGGGGGAGGCAGTGAAACACTGTAATCTTTGAGCGACATGATAGAAATCAAAGCAAAGTGAATGAAAAAACACTGTTGTTCGACTTGTGAAAACATGAATCAGCCAGAGGATTTGCTGCTGTTGGAATATTCTCTTCTCCAGTGGGCATCATGCATGTTGTACAGGTGTTGTATGGTTCAAGAGGCAGAGCCCAGGATTTTTGTGACCATTATCTGTTAATTTTTAGTGTTAGTAGTTTAGTGGTAAGTTTGCTTATGATGTGTTCCAGCCACAGTGTGAGCAATTTGGAGCAGTATTTAGTAGTCATTAGTACTTGGAAGTACAAAGACAGTAAGAGTCTTTTGAGATTGTGATTTAATATGGGATCCACCACTCTGTGTATTTAAAAACAAAAACAAAAAACAACAAAAAAAACCTCCCCCACAGAATCAGAACCCCACACACATTTGAGTCTAAAGTAGTAATGCTCTGACGTTAGCATGAAAATACAGAAAAATAAACAGTTACCACGTTTGATGATGTGTAAGAAACATAGCAGTAGCCATAGATGTACAGCTTCTTATGAGCCAGTTTACTAACAAATGTATCAGTGTACTAACCTGTCCCTCCAATTTTATGTTGTCTTTGGAGGGGTGGAGGGGTTCCCTTCAGCAGGGGGAGGCATCTGTGTGTATGTCTTACAGGCAGGTCTATTTTATTCTTCAGGAAAATAGGGCAATACAAACTCCGCTGACTGGTTTAAAAATGACATACAATTTCCAGAGCAAGTCAAAAATATATGTATGTAGTCTGGATTGAGTCCAAAGCATCTTTACCTCCAAACTGGTTTAGGCCAGAGAGACAGGATGTTCCACTGAGCAAAAAACCATATAATTAAAGAGCATGAACAAACACGGAGTATATTATTAACAAAACACCAGGCTGCATTTCGTGTTGGGTTTTCTGGCTGGTGACCCATGGAATTGACGCAAAAACTAACAGAGGCACAAAGGTCCAGTCTGTTCTAGCATAACTAATAATCAGAAAAGATTCCCTGGAGCCTCCTTTTTGCATGGCAGTGTCAAAAAGCTGTTCTCGCCAGCCATAACAGCAGTACTGTTGTAAATACACTGCGGTGGGACTCCATGCTTGGGAGCATATGATGAGAGAATTTTTTTGGCAACTGCTCTGCGTTGGTAAAACCTCTGGAGAGGTTTTTACCTTGACTCACGATTCTGTAGGTGTCTAACAACTAGGCTCCCTGTTATTTCCAGGCTCTTTGCTTGCATGCTATTGACAATGTCTTTCATTTCTGCCTTGCATTCTGACTCACAGATCGGTAAATGTCCTGTCCTACCCAGTGGGCCTCTTCCATTTTTTGCAGATTCCTCCACGTCCTGATCAGCAGCTGTCTGGGCCAGGATCCCTGTGGACAGACTGAGTCATGCTGCTGTGTGATGAGGATGCATATAGTAGGGGCATGAGGTGAAGGGTAGATGGTGTTTGGAGGCTTATGGAGTGCTTGAGGGGTTAGCAGCTGATAAGCAAATTTGCGGTCAGGCAGGCAGATAAGGTGGGGTAGTGTTGGCTGTCTGTAAGCAAGGAAGATAATTAAAAATCCTGGACCCTCTATGCGGTCGTTTATAGAACTAGGATGTTCTGCTCTTGGAAACTTGCATCCTTTGACTCCAGAAAGCCTGAAATGGTCCCTGAATCTTCAGTGTGTAAAAATTTCTTTGGAAAGTTAAATGAAAATATCTCAGAACAGCTGTGTTCCATGCTGTGAATTTACATGTCTTCTCCTAGGGGCTGTGCTTCTGTCCTCCTCCACCACTGGTAGAGGACTGAATTGCCAGTGAGCCTGGGAACTCATGTTGTTGAGCCCAGTGATGTTTTAGAAAAGACCACTTTCTCCTACCTCAGCAGTGTGAGGAGATCTTGGAAAATGGAGTATCAGGCCCATTTGGCTTTATTTTTCATAGAAGGTTACTTTATTAAAAATGGTCTTATGTAAGCTGGATTTTCTTCCTCAGGACTTCTCAGATACTCTCCATTTTTCAGTCAGTATTTAACACTTCTGGCCAAACACAGAGATCTAGCTGCAGCTCTTTAGTGTTGCGAGCTCATCATATGCAGGATGCATTTTAACTAGGAGGGAAAGGAGCATTTGGTGCTCGGGGAGCTGTGGGTGTTGAAGCCCTGACAGGCAATGTGCTGCTGTTTAAGATGACAGCTTTTCCTGTACTGCCCACAGCATCACTCAGGAACGTGTCTCCTCCCTCAAAGAGATGCCAGCTGCTTTCCCTTCCCTGCTGTTAGTCAGCAGATACACTCCACTCCTCCAGATCCAAACCAGAAGATATTTTTTGCTAATGCTTCCTCGCTCTTCTTTGTTAACTGAAAGAGGTTATTGCTGAAGCTGAGACTACCTGAGGCACTCTGGGCACAGTGCTGCTTTGAGTGGAAGGAGAGGGACTGTGGAGCAGCACGTATCCGAGCTCCAAGTGGAGGCCCCAGGGGTGCCTGCCCGGCAGTGGGGGGTGCAAGCGTGAATCACACGCTGCAGAACCGGGAAAGCAGGGGCGTCAGCGTGGTTATTTCTTGAATCATTCTTAGCCGGCAGCAGGTCAGCTGGCAGATGGCTTCAGCCTGAAGTGAAAGCTTGTAACTCTCCAGCCAGCAAATGGCTCCATAAGTGAATATCTGCATTTCATCAGCATCTTGTATTGTCTCTGTGAAAAATGGTATTCAATTACACATAATTGGTAGTGCTTCAGTTTCCTGTGGCTTTCAGCGTATTCATTTGCGTTAGGTCAGCTCAACTGTTTTATAAACATGGAAATGTGTTTTAAATCTGATGAGCTTGCAACATTAAAGAAGACTTAAAATACTCTTAGATATCAAATACCGGAACTGCGACACTTTCTACCCAGCTTCAGTTGAAGTTCATACATTGTAGTGAAATGAAAATTCAGCAGTTCTTTTAGGCTCCATCAGAGAAATCATTTGGGGTACCCTAAACAATTAAAGAACCAAATTATTTTTCAGTGCTTGAGATTAAAAAAAAATAAAAAAGAGAGAGGGGTTTTTTTTTGTTTGTTTGTTGTTTTTATTCTAGCTCAGGCTAGAAAAACTTAAATGCTATCTCTTCAAAAAAGAAATATCTGTGGGAATCCTGTAGCAGTAGAGAGTAAGCTCTGGTACCAGTGAAAGCAGCTGGCCTAGAAATTTTCACGTGTCCTTCATACGGAAAACACACTGAAATTTCGCAATAAAATGGCAAACATGACACACTATGACCTGTTTCCTAACCCAGGAACTAGATTGAATTTGAACTAGTGACAGGTATCAGAATATTTGCCTAAGCAAACATGGCCGAAGTTGTGTTAAGCCTTCTGAAAGGTTCAGTCACCCACTTTTGCATGGTTTGCATGATAAAATCTCAAAGAATGGAATAGAGACACTTTTCATACGCAAAGTAACAATTATCAAGCTCTTCCAGAATGTTCTATCTTTATATTGAAAAGGCTTGCAGATTTTTCAATAAGTTAGGTGGGGTAAAAAGGCAAATTTACCATCTAAAATGCCATTTTCTAATTATGTCCCAAATGCATGAAGCTACTATTGTGTTTTCTTAATCTAAACATTTTGAAATGCAAATCGCTTTTTCTTTGAGTTCTGTTATTACTGATGTGAGTGTGTTTTCTGTATTAGGAGAGAAGTTCCAGTTGGAAGCCATCATTCATAGGTTACTTGTCTCTCCATCCCAACGTCTCACAAGCCCTCCCAAGCTCTTCGTGACTCTTAAAAGTATTCATCGTTTAGTAAACAGTTTTTTGTGTGGTGCGTATTTACAGATAGTGTAGCTATTTCCTGGCTATTGTCTCCAAAGACTTAAGAGATCTTCCCCCCACCCCATGGCTGCAATAACCTTTTCCTGAGAAGCCAAGGCAGCTAATCTAAACCAGATCCACCTGGTGGGAGAGCCACTCCTTATTCTAAAGTCTGTTTCAGTTTAAGCATCAGTAGAAGTGCTTTTAAAGATCAGATCCTTTTTATGATGGATATCTGTGAATTTCTGAACTGTGAGGCTGGTGTATAGGGAGCTGAATTTGATGGAAGGAGGTATCACAGACTTTAATAAGAAAATTTAACGTAATTGTTCAATAGCCTGGAACAAAACAATTATGAGATTTTAAAATTTGCTCTACATTTAAAAACTAGAGTGAACCTCAGATTTAAACTGTTGCCTTTATTGAAATGTTTCCATTCTGGAGAATATGTAAATATATTATTATTGTAATGAAATTTTACTTACTCCTCAACACTATTTTGGTCTGCTTCAGTGCAGTGAGAAGTAAAGTAGTTTCTGACTTCATGAGTCTGCTGTCATTGGGAAGTGAATGAGCTTCCTCACTTCCTGGATCATTGCTCACTTCATCTAACCATTGTACTGTTAGACAAAAGACAGCCACAGCCGTGGGTGCTTCCTCTGACCATGTTTTTTAGCCTTCTTTCTTAAGAAAAGATTCGTATGATCGTGCTGTCCTCCTCAGGCAGTTTTGATTCCCTTGGCCTATTTTGGCTAGCGTGGGGCAGAAGGCTGAGAGACATTCAGATCCTGCAGTCTTTGTGACAGTAAGTGGCTGCTCGGAGGAGAGAGACCTCATTAGCAAGGTACAGGCTGCAGTCAGTATTGACAGCTAGCAGTGGCCATGTGGGGAGAGGCATGCTGAAGGTCTCAGCTACAGCAAAGGCTCCAGTCTGAGTTTGTGCATCATTAGATGCTAGATGCCAGGGAAATCAGCCCCAAGACAGAAGTCTGTGGGAAACAGGGCTTCATTAGTTCTGTTGTTCTCCTGCTTATTGTGGTGAAAGTACCCACGGGTTCTGCTTTTATTGAACTCCATGTTGCTGGAGTGTGGTAGCTGTGCTCTACTTTCAGGGGACTTAGACTCAGGGATGCATGATTTCTCAATCCCAAGCAGCCATAGGAAGGAAAGATACCTTAAGAAGAGGTTCCCAATGTATGGGGCACCCACAGCTTGCAAAGGAGTTTTAATAGTGACTGTTCTCAGCAGGATTAGCTGATTCTTGAGGCTGCTCCACTGACAGGATCTTGTCTGATTGTGTGGGGAGGCAGCTGAATGGCTCAGTAGCAAAGGAACTGCAGCTTGGCCCAGGAATAGCTGTCAGCTGTATACTGCACATCCTCTCCTAGCTAGTCCCTTGCCCCTATTACTTCCCACAGAAAAGATTGCAGGGCTGTGGCCAGTTGTGCAGGTGTCACATCATCAGAGCGCGTAGCTGTGCTGTGCTGTGGCTGGTTCTTAAACCAAGCATGCATGTAAATGGTGCTGTTAAACGATATCTGAGGTGTTGTATTTGTGTGATTTATCATGTTGCATCTCCTGAACCTAACCCTATTGCACTGGTCCTGAATTTTGTCTCGCAGCCCAACATCCTCCCCAGCACTCTCCTCCCAATCCAGCGTTCATCTATGAAAGAAACTCTGCAACCCTGAATGTAGATGCTCTGATCATTCAGTGGTCAAGGTGCACGCGTGACCAAATGCAGAACCCATAGCGTCTCTTAAGGCCTTTGGTGAAAATGTTAGTGCTTGCAGCTTCCTGGGAAGTTGAGTGGTTTGGTGAGGGTGTGATAGAATGATCTGTCAGGTAATGCATAGGTGGCACATGCTTGCTTTTGCATAAGATCAGTGTTAACAGTCAGATCTTCAGACATTTCGTAGGACTCTGGGGTGCTGATTCACTAATATCACACTTTGGTACTATTTAAACATCAATGTGAGTTATTGATGTTACATGATATACATTGCCTTGCAGTCCAGAACAGAAATAGCTATGAGAAATATTTACCTTTTCTGTTAATGGATTTTACCCTGTTAATGTAGTAATAGAAAATCTGATTGTTACAGTTTTTTTAAAATTATCCTATTGTATTTAAACTCTTATTATTGTCTTTAAGTCTGTTAGAAATTCATTTTTCTTTTCTCATTGCCTCTTACTTCCGTTGTCCGTTTCCTAGGTTCTTATGTATAGTTGCTGCTATTTTAAGGTCCTTTCTGGCTTTCATTAATTTTGAATTCTCAAGATTGACCACGCCACATTCAGGACAAGTGTTTTCTCATTAAATTCACCTCTTTTGAGTTGGCCCTCAAGAAAATATATATTTTAAACATAATTTCTGATTGCTAGAAATGCATCTTTTCCTGTCACAGGTATAGTCTTCTACCAAAGGTTTGGCTGCAAACCCACTTGATGCTTCTTGTTTTTTAGGTCAAAGTAATATGCAGTCAGACTTTGCATGGCATACTGAAGAAACAGGATTTTCTAGCACGGTGAGTACTTGCAGAGTCGACAGGCTGATGATTTCTAATGACTAAGAATCCATGAAACACTGCACCCTACATAAAAGCAAAAGGGAGCAGTAATCACTGGGTGAATGCTATTTCACCTCTACATGTTTAATAGGCAGCTTCAGGGAGGAATTTAGGAAAGGTGCATTGCAGAATGACTTAGTGTGAGCTCTCATTGTGTTCTCAGGGAGCACTACCTGGGCAAGTGCAAAAAAGGAGTTTTGAAGGAGCTATTTAAAATGACAATATGGCTGGGGATTTAATGATGGTGTTCATAAGAAGGCCTTAAATAGGGATCATGTAGCAGTGGATGTTTTCCCTTCAGTCTGTGACTTAAATTGTAAACTTACTTCCCTTTTGTTATCTTTGCTGGATGTGGACTTTCCAAGCCTCTTTTGGCATTTTGCTTCCCCAGCTGAGAAGTGCTTCTCATAAATTTTGAATTTGCAGCCTTTCAAAGCTATTTTCCTTGAATGGCTCCTGGAAAAGCTAGAAAAGACCTTGAGATGTCACAGAGTTCTTTTATTCCATCTTCCTGGCCTAAGGCAGGTTCTAATGTCCCTAAACATTTTTTCAAGCACCCTGGCAGATAATCTTAAAAATCACCAGTGACAGAGATTTCCCTATATTCCTAAACTATTTACCATTCTTTTGAGTAGAAGATTTTGCCTCCCATCTAACTTAAATCTCCCTTGATGCAATATAGTGATCACTTTTGATTTATTGTTTTGCTTACAGTTTACCACGGACATGGACAACAAGTTTATTCCCTTTTTAACCCCTCTATGCATTGACCTATTAGGGGATGATTACATGGCCATTTCTTTCAGCAGCAACCTCTGTTCATAGGCCTCCTTTGACCTCAGGTACTCCTCTGTTATGCCGGTGGTTGTTAAGGGGGTAGTCATGTGGGGAATTCAATCAGGATGCTTATCTAGTCTAAGGGGAAAACAAACAAACAAACCTCCCCCCCCCCCCCCCCATTCTTCAGGCAGTAAGAGCAGCTTAAGTCAGGACACAATGCACAAAAAATATCCATGCCATCATCCTGAGAGCCCTCCACAGGGTGCTCTATGAGAATGGAGCAAACGGAAGTTTTTTTTTTTTTGTCTTCTGAACAGACCAAAAGCTCTCTCATGTTTAGAAATAGGCTAGGGTAGAGTATCTGCATAGCCATGGGGTCCTGCACTCTTTATCTTCCACCTTTGCTCTGTTTTTCATAAATAATTCAGTTAGCAATTACTCTGTAAACATTTCAAGGAAAGTTATGTTACCATTAAATCAATCCGATAGTTTGCATAATCGTTTTCTAGGTGCAGGTTTACCTTATTTGTGGTTTCCTGCCAAGACGGATATACTGAGTCTTGCAGTGTGAGATCAATAAAACAATTATACTTGCATAAATGTTTATACTCAGTGAACTGGAAAAAGATTGTTGCAAATTTATATTTCTTTGTCTTTCATCACTGCCGTCAAGTATAGTGGGAACGGACAGAATAGCATAGGTAACGTTCATCTGGCAAAAGCAGTAAACTGCCCATCTCTATCGTCCAAGAAGTTCAGTGCTACAAAATGTGACAAAATTAAAGAGAATACAGACTAACAGTAAGTCAACTGCAGAGAACTTTTCAGGGTTTTTGAAGACTGCAGTGGACCAGCTTCCCCTAGTAAGTTTAGCAGGAGCAAAACATCCCACACAGATGTGGAAGTTTGTTACTCATTGTTGTGAAAAAGGGTACAGTGTGTCACTCCCACACACTGTGCTGCGTTTGCTTTTGGAGGCCTAAAATTTTTAGTAGGTTTTTCAGATTGCGTATTTAAGAACTGTGATCTGTACCTATATGTTAAGAGGATTATTTACATTCATTCGAACGTTCTGATTAGCTTGAAATAGAATATATGATTTTACGATATGTTTATTTCTTGGAAATGTATGTTTAACCCTGAAACTTTGCATGTTGAATCGTTAATTTTGTTATCATGAACTGAAACCGTTCTAGGTCATCCATTTCTTAAATTTTACACCTCTTAATGCTCAGCAGCACGTGATAGGTGTTGAGAAACTTCAGGCTAATTCAGGAAAATACATTTACCTCCCCCCCACCCCCGGAAAAAAAGGAGGAGAAGGAGGAAAGAACACCCTACCCCCCAAAAACCCAGACCCACAGATGTCCAGATTGCTAAGCATAGCACTACTATTTTTGTAATCAGTATTACTGGATTTATACTTGCAGCCTTTTCTAAGTCTCTTAAAACATCACCTGACGCTCTGCTAATAATGAAACATTGATTTAAACAGAAATTCCTTCTAGTTATTCCCTTTCCCTGACCTCTGTCCTGGCTGGCAAAGTGGTAGTCATCATAAATTTTCCCATAAATTATGCGAAACTGTAGCTATTTAATTACTCAACTGGTGATTGGGTTGTATTCTGTGCAGCTGACTTCAGAACACAAAATCCATTGTGCTGTATATTTTATGTCATAGCTTGATTCTTCTCCCTATAACCTCTGGAATATGGAGGAAAACACAGGATGGACTGCTCTGTTTGCCTACCCTCAGGCACGACAAGCACAACTTGAAAGGTTAAACTTCATGTATAGTCTAGGAAATTTTAGCGCTGGCCTTAGGTAAAAAAGAGGAATCTCTGCTTTGCCCCCTTTAGCTTCCTCAGGGCTGCCTGAGGGAAATGCCACTGGGGTGAGTCAGTAGTGGCGGAGCTGGGTCAGCCTGAGCTTTTCTCAACCTTGGGCAGCTTCACTGGTAGCCGGGCAGGCCAGGTCCTGGGAGCATGGTTCAGCGGACATACACTTCCAGAGAAAGGAAGCAGGTTTCCTGGAGCCTCTATGACACAGATTGTTCTTCAAGAACAGATCGCTGTTCCTTTTGGCCAATCCAGGGTTCAGCATATGCTTGCTGATTTTATTGTGGTGCCTTTAGATTTTACTTCGTGTGAGCACCTGGCCTGCTGGAGAGTTTCCTGCTATGTGCCTTGCGCTATAGGAAACTTTAAGCTTATTTGTAATCTGTGTATATTTACAACTTAAAATTGTGGGCTGCTGTGTTAAGTACACAAAAGAAAGTCAGCTTACTACTTAGAGCATTGCTGCTTTTTAAGGTACTTTATCCCAGAAATTGAGCAGGACATGTTATGGCTTCCATGGCTTTTTAGGCAGATTACTGTACATGTCAGCTATAAATTCATCTCAAGACTAAGCAGGGTACAGCTATGGCATGAGCAGTGCAGCTTCTGGTCGTGTTTTGCTATAGCAGACAGGTTGTTATATTGTCTTGTGAACCATTTCTCCTTAATTTATTTGGAGCACTTTTGGAATGACATGGAGATTTTCCTCAAGTCAGTCAGTCAGTCAGCTGTAGCATAAGTGAGGTCTGTTCTTCCTGGAGTTTGATATTTTTAAAGTTTGAACAGAATATTGTATTTTTTTGGGCTGTTGGCTGAGTAAGTACAACAACATGGTATCATTACTTGTGCAGGAGAACTCAGGTTTTGACACAGACACCAGAGGGAGAGTGCTGTGAACTTGGCTGCTGTCACTTCATTTTGTGTCTCAGTGCAACCTACTAGATGGAAGAGTACGTGATTAAGGTATGTGCAGTTCAACTGTGATTATGACCCCTGCTTACCTCTCGACCTTGATTTTCCTTAAGGTTCTGTACCCTGAAGAATTCCAGTTTATTCTTAAATGTTTTCCTGACCTTTGCTCATGCTGGTTTCATGAATGATCCAGTGTGAACATTTATTTCCTGTTGCCGGTGAAGGTTGTTAGTAAAATGTGTTACAGAAATATAGATGCGAGAGAGGGTGCGAACTCACTAGGGAAGGGACTAAATTAGTCCCAGACAATACACAGATAAATGATATGCGATTTATGGTCAAATTTCACATCAGGGCATAGAGTAATGATTTACCCCAAAAGAGATAATGCCCAAAAACCAAACAGAGAAAGTGTATTTACTAATATGGTTTAAAAGTAGGCCCCAAAAGCAGCATGGTGCTGAATGCAGATTTTTTTTGTCCACACTCTGAGCATGCATCCATTTGCTACTTTTTCTTGCACTATAGTGCCATAGCCTGAGATCAGTGTGATTCAGAAGTAGAAGTCTGGGAAAATCACTATCTGAGCAAATGCTTTAAGTCACCTTCAAGCTGTGGGGAAAAGATGTCAAAGGTCAGCCTCTGTCCAGAGGAAGAGGATGAATGAGTCATGTTTTCTGGTTGTGGGGTTCATTAGTGGTGGCAAATTAACTCCAGTGTTGAGCGCAGTACAAGAGCTGTTGAACAGAACTGTATGTTGAATGCATTTATTTGGATCCAGGCCCTTCCTACACAACACTGTCTATTACAAACGCAGAGTTCTCTGGTAACCACATCTCCTTTGCTGTCTTTGAATGCTGCGAAGCAATTTGTTTCTCATGATGTAGGTGTCTGCAGTACATTGAAGAGTCATTTCTGCAGCAGAAATAATTACTTTGATTTCTAGACTTAATGAGATAGACTTGCAATTTGTACCTGCCTACAGTCCACATTCATTGCAAGCAGAAACCTCTGTGCTGTGATCTGTTGATGCACAAGAGTCAGATTGATAATCCAAGGTGATCAATCGGCACCACTTCAATGGCATCTTCTCCACTTGTCTCTTGGCTGAAGGATAGCAATAGTATAATGTTCAGTGATGTAGTGGATGTTTCAAAGTCCCCAGCAACAGGGAGTACACCCATTACCTAAATTAGGCATAGTATGGAATTTCAAAAACACAAAAAGAAATCTGAGCTAAGTTTGAATCTAAGAAAGCTTTGTGGTTAAACTGTTTGGGGGAGGCCTCCTGTGATGCTGGCTTTTGACCGGTTTTATGGTCTTTTAATTGTCTGTTGCCTCTTCTGTCCCTAAAACACTAATGCAAGGAGCATATAAGCAGAGAAAATATAACTGGAGGATGCATTTGGTTTGCTGTAGTGGAATCATTTACCTTTGCATTGTTTAATTGCCTCCTGTCTTCTAATTTACCGTGACCTACAAGGGGACGTTCCTCTACCACGGCTAAGGCATTCAGGTGGAGTTAATTGAGCAATTAAATTATCAGGTGATAGAAGTAAAAATCTCATCCACACAGTGGATGGATTTAGCAGTCCGACTCCTTTTAGTTTATGACTTACTATTATGTAATGTGTGCGTTGCTACATAGCTGCACATTCTGTGCAAAACAGAGGTAAACAGCTGTTCTAACATATACTTTGGCTGATATGGGGATCATGACTTCAGTCAACTGACCACGGAGAAAGGTGACAGTACAGGTGTTTCTGATGATAAGCTGGTGGACACGGACCGTCCATTTAATATAACTTCCTCCCCGACCCCTTCCTCTTAGAAGTGTCTTGTCAGGGGTTTGGAGCTAAGGCTGAGCTAACACGTGAAAAAACTTTTTCCAATCAGGTGCATTTTGCCCCTAAGTATCCATGGAGGAGCGCACAAAACTAAGCAGCGTTCAAGTGCTGGTGGGTTTATACAGAATTGCAAAGGGAAGTTTAGAAAGCAAATTCCATTTTGGTGGAAAATGACAAAGGCTGCCGATCCAGGTAGTATGTCAAGCGGAGGCAATCTAAGGTGCGTGCGTTTTCTGAGACCTTGTTAGAGATGTGACCTGTGTCTAGGCCAGCTGTCCAACTTGGCAACTCTGAAAATGATAGATGTGATAAAAGCACATCAGAATTCTAGCTCCCTCTTCCTGTACAGAACTACTACTGTGGCGGTTGTTGTTTCAGTTGAAAGGTCAGGTATGGCAAAAAAGGCATATCCACAGTAATACTAAGATTATTATTGAACAGGTAGAGGACAGGGCATTAGAAATGCTGTTGTGGTGGAAAACACAGGGAAACCTCAAACCCTAGAATGGAGGGCTGAATGGGATGTGACATGCTGACTGAGACAGACTTCTGCAGTGACGTTAGACCACCAGAGTGTAATGCAGAAAATTCTGCTGCTGTCTAAATCTTCTATGCGCCCATCCTGGAATTCTGTGTGTTGGTCTGGTCACAGAGCCTCAGAGGAAAGAAAGGAGGTCTCTTTTGGCTTGGTAGAATGGTTCAATTTTAAATTAAAGGGGATGTTGCAAAAGGTCGTGACTGTTAACTGCAGAAGTTAAAAGAGGTTATTTCCTTCCCTTTTACTGACAGTACAGAAGGTCTCACAAGAATCTGTATGTTTCTGCCCTATTGAATTTCTCAAGGGAAAATAATTCTAAGAGGATGCCTAGAGTCAGTGTGGTGCAGTGTGCTGTGAAGCTGAGGAAGAGACTAGTCCTGGTCAGCTCTGTTGCTGGGGAGAACGTATAAAATGCACAGAGATCCCAGGAACAGTACTGTGATAAGGCTATGTGCTCCTGCATCTGTGAGCCAGGTGACACAGCTTTATTATTACTGTCATCCATGGAAAGTAAAGGGCTGGTTCTATCGGAGGTTCACGCCCTGGATTTGGTAGCAACATTTCTCGTTAGGCAAGCGAGTGGCTTGAGAAGCTGCGCAAAGGTAGGTAACAAGTTCATCTTCAGGAAGGTACATGCATCAGACCTGTTTCTCTCCTATCCAACTTGCCCATATAACAGAAGATAGTGACAAAAATCTACCTCATGTTGTATAAATTCCAAATAGTAGCTTTCACCTCTGTTCTCTATTGCTGCTTTTCAGTTGTGAAATTTATCTCTGTATCCCTTGATGAAGGTATTCATTTCATATCTAAAATTTAAATGAGCCTGTGTGACAGTTTCTCATGATGCCAATTTCTCTTCTGATCAAAAGGTTCTCCCATTTTATTTTCCAGCCTGACCTAGCATACTCACAGGAAGGTTGTTCAGCAGCTTTGCCAGTGTGAAAAGGAGAGCCAGGATACCTTAACCTATTTGACAAAATTGGCTTGGGGTCAGAATGTCCTTCCCTCTGACCATGAGACCTTAAAAAGATATTTTTTTTTCTGTCTCCTTGGCAAGAGATTGTAAACTGGCTTATAGTGTGGGGTGGATGTGATTTAGCTCTGCCTTTACTGTCTTTGAGAAGAGACTGGTTAAATAGGTGCAAAGGTCTTGCCTTTATGGCTACAAAGGACCATTAGTCTCTTGGGCTGACCTCTCACATAGCAAAAACGCAGACTTCCATCCATGTCCCCGTGTAGTGAGCTCTGTTTGACTAATGGGTGTATTCCACAAAGGCATACATGTCCACTACTTCCCTTGGTAGCTTATTGCAATGGTTGATCCCGTCTCACTCTTAAAAACATGTACTTTACTTCTAATATGAATTTATTTAGCGTTAACTTGCAGTCCTTGATTGGACTGAATGATTTAAAATAGCCTGGGCTCTGCAAAAGAACTTGCACTGAAATCTAACTGCTTTGTTTTATTCATGAATTCAACAGATAGAATTCCTTAACTCTGCTATTACAATATGTTTTCTAGCTCTCAAATCATGTTTGCCATTTTTCTCTCCAAGTTTTTCAGGGCTATCTTTCAGTTGTGGGCCCTAGAATTAGACTCCAGTGTCAGTTTCATCAGTAACCAGGCCTAGAAGGGAAAATACTCCCTGTTCATTAAGATATCCCGTGGCTGCAGTCAGACCCCTTCCTAAATATGTCTCCATGGGGTTCAGCCTCAGAAGAGAAGAACCGCTGGAAGGGAGAAGGAGTTTATTTTCTATGGCCAAGGCAGTCTTTGGCTTCTGTGCTAGGATCCTCCTTGTGTGCATTAAGCACAGTGGCACTGACAACGGAGCTGTGAGAATCTGAACCTCACTCAGTTTGGTTTTTCTTTCAGTGCTGATGCTAGTCAAATGTTGTTGGATAAATTCATAGTTAAAGAGCTTCAAATCAATGACAGCTTGGCAGCTACCTGTGCGGTACTACTTCTTGGGATCGATATTCAATAGCTGAGAGAGTATTCATTTACTGATTCCTAAGTGTTTGGTCTTCAGACATAAAGCTCACCCAGAAGCTGCGCCTAAACTTTCATATAGGATCAAACCCGTGGATGTGTTTGGCAAGCTCAGCTAGTTCTAGGTCCAAAGAGCAGATAACGTTACCAAGAAACCGGGTAACTGTGCACCTGCAGAAATCTCTTCCTCCTTGTTTGGGGGGGTTGGGGGGGGAGGGGGGAAGAGAGTCACTTGAACAGCAAGCCTGTTTTTATTCTGCCAGGCAGTAGATTAATTAGATTACTTTGAGGCCTGACCTCCTATTTTGTATCCAAAGGTCATGGCTCTTGTTAGAGAGACCAGTTAATATATCAGCATATCAGGGGCAGCATAGAAATTTAATCCAAATAATGTAAAGGAAATCTTTTGTGTACTGTTTATTTACCTCAGCTGGTAGTTAATCAGGGTTACTGTTTGCTACCTGTTCCATTTCTCTTACTCAAGAGCTTTAGCAAATGTTTATTTGACAGAACGTTCTGTTCCTTTCCTCTCCTTTCTAAAAAAAAAAAAAAAAAAAAAGTAGTCTAACCCCTGTGCAACTGCAGCTGCAACATCATGTTGCAGGCTGGATTGTAATCAGAGGAGTTTCTTTACTGCTTGATGGGGGAGGGTAGACACTGTTTTAGGCAT